AAAAAATTACCTATATATATTTATTTCTTCTCTAGCTTATAAAGTAAATGAATGAAGACCTATATCCCCATTAAATGACCCTCGTCAAGCATATCAATTAAAATGAAATAGTTCCGTATAAACCTAAATTTTATGCAGGTTTTTTTGGTTTCTGCTTCGTGCAAATCGATTACTCTTTTAGGTGTTATCTTTATTTTCTATGTCCTACTATTTTCTGTCTTTAATGTTACTCGATGAGCGTATTAAGAAAAAAAATATACGATTTTCATAACATCGTTTTATTGCTAATATAAAACGGATGCTTTATTTCGTAAACTTTAAAAATTGAAACATATAAATTTTCGCATGGTTACTTCTTTTTCTACGATTGTGTAACGCTATGAAATTGAAACGCAATGAGGAACATTATTCACCCTATGCCGGAAAAATAAAAATATAAAACAAGAAACATTATTACTAACATAAATTTCATGAAAGTTAAATGCTGCAAGAATCCTCAGAATATATATAATATTAATAATATTATTATATATTAATTCCTTCTTTTCTTTTACTGTTATACAATTGTCTCCCTGAATCTTTTTATGATATTTCTATTCAAATACTAAATTATTTAAATACTCTTTTATTATAGTCATTTAAAATTTTATTCAAATATATTAAATAATTCGCATATGAAAAAGCATATTTAAAAGTTTACTTAAATTATATTCATATATACAACATTATCATCATTAATATATCGGAAAAAAAAAATTATTTAGATATAAACTACACATATAATTTACTGAAAAAACGAGCAATTATTACCAATGATTTTTTTTAAAAAGATATGAAATTATGATGTTGACATAAACGCTCTCTGATGAAACTTTCTCTATTAAGTCTCTCTATTTATACCGCTGTTTACAAAAAGATTTAAAATATACATTTTAAATATAATCAATATAAAATACGCAATGAAAAAAATATGCAAGCAGATTAGTGAAATATTTAAACGTTTTTTATTCTATATTTTTTTGATTGCTACATTCGCTCAATTTTATCGCGTTCGATAACCTTTCAAGGCACAATATTAATTCACAATGCTTAGTATGAGGAAACATGTCTACCGCGATGGCCTTTACCGGTACGAAGGGTTCACCAAGATATTGCTTCGAACTAGGTCGTGCTAAGTCAACTACATTTCTCATGGCAGCACGAGGATCGCATGATATGTACACCAATCTACTCAACTTTTTTGCCTTGCGCAGTGCCAATAAAGCCTTTTGATCTAGAAAAAAAATCAACATGCAGGTAAGCTCTCTCTAACATTTTTTTTACATTATGAGAGATATTGTAAATCTTATTTTTAACAATATATATGTATAACTTACGTAAGCCAGCTCGTGGTGGGTCCACAATGGCAGTGATATTAGGCTTTGTCGCCCTTTGAATGACAGGTGATAAAATGTCCTCCGCCTTTCCGACAAAAAATTCGCAATTGGTAATACCATTCTTGATAACATTTTCTTTCGCATCCTTTATAGCATCGGGGATAATTTCTATTCCTAATACTTCGCCACAATGCTGCAACAACGAACACTATGTTTATGATGTATGTGTGTATATGTAATATATCTTCAAAAAATTATGTAATTATGATTATAATACCTTTGAAAAGCAGAGACCTATGGTTCCAATGCCGCAACATACATCAAGTACTGCCATATCCATCGTTGGTTCGGCAAGATCAATTGCCGCCTTGTACAGAACTTCCGCTCCCGATGGATTGACTTGAAAAAATGCCTGAGGCGATACTCGGAATTTTAACCCGAGTAGCGTTTCTTCTATGTATTCTGTACCGCTAACATGATATAAGGTGTCACTACTTTCACTGCCTACATTTCTGCAAATTGAAATATTGTGCAAATAAAAATAAACTGCTACTTTTGTTTTTAAAATATTATACTTACTTTCTGTCTATCGTTTGAAAGTACAACGAAGTAACATTAGCATCGGCACCTTTTCCGCTTTCGAAGAATATACGCAATTGTGATTTTAATTTTTCCAATTCGTCAGTACTTAAATCCTGAGGATGTATTCCTACTATTAACATCAAATGATTGGCACGAGTAGTTCGAGCGGTAACTTGCCTCCAGTATCCACTATGGCAGACTGGATTATAAGGTTCTAAATTTGACTCATATATAAATGCTTCTAGTATCTAAAAGTATAAACATATATGAAACATAATCTTAAATTTTAAGCTAATAGAGCCTTCAACATGTGAAAAAAATCAATGATAGAAATTTACCTTTACAGCAATCTTCATACTTGTAGGAATGTGGCAAAGATCATCAATAGGTGCAACTGCTGTAGAACCTGAAGCGTAACTTGATAATCTAAACCCTATCATAATTTTGTTTTGCTCACTGTCTTTACCTGTATTATAAAAAGAAACTGAATGTGACAAGATCTTCATACTTGTATAACTCAATTCCACATAAAAATGTAACAATAATTACCAACTGTAAACTCGCATTTATTTCTGTATGCTTCAATAATATCTGCTGAAAGTATATTCTGCAGTTTGCAAGGCAACCCATCATATAATTTTTGTTGCGAATTCACCCAATCTGTCATTGCTTTACTTTCTTTAATCATTTGCTGGCCAATTTTCATCAGAATAGATTTCATTTCTTTCTGCTTGAGTTCTAACTAAAAAAAACATATATATATATATAGTGGAGACTTAATATTTCCCCCAAAAAAATCCAAATAAAATTCTTTACTTGACTTGAATATGGCATGTTCCACAAAGGAGTAGTAATAAATTTGATTCTATCCATCGGAGAGCAATTTAGATCTTCAGCATTAGTTCTTAAACGTTTGCTGCTAGACTCTTCTTCTAATTTTCTTTTCACAAATGGATCTGGAGCTGGTTTAGCCACCTATAGAAGAAAAATTAATTATATTTAAAATGGTATAACATTTAACTTTGAACAAGGAAACAGTTCTAATGAAAGAATAAGAAATACCTGTGCAGTAAGTTTACTATTTTTCCATGAAATTCCATTTATAGTATTTATTGCTCGTTGACGACACTCCTCATTTCTGAAGCATACGTACAGCCAACCACTGCCCTTTCTGGGTGGCTTCACCTTACATGACTGTAAGTCCAACTTTTCATTTAGCAATTTTTTGAATTCACCAATTCCGTAATATTTGGGTAAACCACGTATTTCTATCTTGTACTTTTCGGACGTGAAATCATCCCTTTCGAGATATGCATATGGATCCTTTTCATTCTCCACATTAGTTGTCAATGTTTCCACAACATTTGCATCGGCCATTATATATAAATCTATTTTAAATTACAATTGCAATTTTTATGTATTAAAATTTTGTCTCTGTATCTTGCAATATAAGGTAGGCTAATTTATTTAACTTTTTTCAAAACTTTTTGTATTTGAATATTTTACTTTAATCATAATACATAAATGTGAGAAAACTTATTTAAATATAATTAACAAATTAAATGCAATTAGCCGTTAGCCAATTAAACGTGAAAATAATGAACAAAACTGATTAGAAAAAATATTTAATTCAATTTTTTTTTTTTAGGATGCTTTCAATTTTAGAGAATTATCCAACATATATATATATATATTTGGATTTTTAATTAAATGTGCTATTTTTTTTATACTGTTCCTCCAATCTATACAATAAATTTATATATAATTATTAGCATTTCTCTAAGTGACTGTATCATACACCTATCATCTATCTCACGAAAAACGGCGTGAATCGTGAATGGCGTGATCGCATAACCCTCTCTCCGTAATCGTAAAAATTCGTTGAAGGCTTGTTTGCAAGTCTGTTCTAAAATGTTGCTGCATGAGGTTAGTTCTAAAGTACTGCGTGTGTATGTTCTAGGTCGTTGAAGTGGCGTTCGATTGGACACGCCGCTAATTGATTAAAACTTTCTGATTGGTCGATCATTGCTAGTTATCCTAGGCACTGATCGATATGATAATTGTAATTGGTTAAAACGATAATTTCCCAAATCTCTGTGCAATCCAACCATTTAATTTGCAAGCTAAATAACCATATAAAATAAAAACTGTGGCAACTAATAAGCAATAAAATATTATAAGGATTAATTTAATTATAATGTAAAACAGAATTAATGAATTTTATTAAAACTAAATGTAAAAGCAAGCGGATTAAATATAACTTCCTATATTCCATTAGTATAATAAAAGCAAGATACGAATATAATAAAAATTAAGTTTTTAAATTGATTTATGCGCGAATATATGTATTGATAAACATTTTTTTGATATACTATCAGTTTTCACATTATTAATATTCGCGTGTCTGTATACATAACATCAAATATCGATAATTTCACAATTTATTTCTTTAACAAATACTAGCAATATTTAAATATTATAATATTTCTACATCAATCAATGATCAATGATATAATAATTTTAATTTAATAAATATTAATTTATTAATTTAATAATTTTTCAGTTACAAAGAATCGTTCGCGTACGCGAGAATTTTACGCAGATAAAAAAACGCGGAGGAGCTTGAAGATTCGGGTAAGATCGTCGAGTGCTTCGTGAACGATCGTCATGGTCGTCGCGCGCGATGAAAATCGACCGCGCATAGAAGCGGCCAGGAAATTTCGCGACGCCGCGGTTGGCCATCCTGCGGCTCAATGTCACGCGGCTCAAGGTAAACTATCGATGACGTCAGTGTACGTCACTTAACAAGTGGGAGTGGATGGGAGTTAGATGTCGGCAGCCGCGGTGGCTCTCGCGAATCGCGCACGGTATCTGTGGAAGCTCGCTGTGCCGCCGCTACGACGCGACGATAATGCCGCGCGTTTCTTAGCGATATGTAGTGCTGAGTGCGTGAACACAGTAGTGGCGTCAACCGACTCGTCGCACGTGTTTCGCCGTGCATGGAAAATCACCGAAATCCATTCGCGCATGCCCGACCGCCGATGACGTCACGAAAATTGTGCTTTTGATCAAACGAGCGTTCTCGGTGTGTGTCTCTTCTTCCCTTCTTTTCTCACCCTTTAACTTTTCTCTTTCTCTCTCCCTCTCTCTCTCTCTCTTTCTCTTTTCTCGCTAATCTTTGTCTCTCCCGTCCGTGTCTCTTCCCCCATCGCTCTCTTTTCTCCCTCTATCGTTCTCTCTCTCTCTCTCTCTCTCGTTCTCTCTCTCTCGCGAACTCGGAAACGGTTTCCCATTTCGGATCTACCGTGCGGATTTGCTACCGCGTAATTTAACCAACGAGGTAAACGAACCGAGCGTTGGGAAAGAGAGAAGGGAAATCAGAGAGCAACTAGCAGATCTGTTTGACTCGATGAATATTTTTTTCGAATTTTCACTTACTCTCTCGCCAAGCTCTATTACATCCTTACAATAATTGCTATTGTTTAGAAAGTAAAATAAATAATTTCGATCTCATAGTAATATTTAACAGTCTATTAATATATATCAGTTACGTTAAATTGCTTCATTAAACATCGCGATTATCATTCTCTTTTTTCTTTATCAAAAATTCCAATTTTTTTTTCGCCGATAGACAGACTTATCAGTACGATATAAATATTAATTTATTAATTTAATAATTTTTCAGTTACAAAGAATCGTTCGCGTACGCGAGAATTTTACGCAGATAAAAAAACGCGGAGGAGCTTGAAGATTCGGGTAAGATCGTCGAGTGCTTCGTGAACGATCGTCATGGTCGTCGCGCGCGATGAAAATCGACCGCGCATAGAAGCGGCCAGGAAATTTCGCGACGCCGCGGTTGGCCATCCTGCGGCTCAATGTCACGCGGCTCAAGGTAAACTATCGATGACGTCAGTGTACGTCACTTAACAAGTGGGAGTGGATGGGAGTTAGATGTCGGCAGCCGCGGTGGCTCTCGCGAATCGCGCACGGTATCTGTGGAAGCTCGCTGTGCCGCCGCTACGACGCGACGATAATGCCGCGCGTTTCTTAGCGATATGTAGTGCTGAGTGCGTGAACACAGTAGTGGCGTCAACCGACTCGTCGCACGTGTTTCGCCGTGCATGGAAAATCACCGAAATCCATTCGCGCATGCCCGACCGCCGATGACGTCACGAAAATCGTGCTTTTGATCAAACGAGCGTTCTCGGTGTGTGTCTCTTCTTCCCTTCTTTTCTCACTCTTTAACTTTTCTCTTTCTCTCTCTCTCTCTCTCTCTCTTTCTCTTTTCTCGCTAATCTCTGTCTCTCCCGTCCGTGTCTCTTCCCCCTTCGCTCTCTTTTCTCCCTCTATCGTTCTCTCTCTCTCTCTCTCTTCTCTTCTCTTCTCTTCTCCTCCTTTCTCCCTTTTTCCCTCTCTGTTTTTTTTTTTGTACTGGACGTACAACAATGTTGCTGTGCAAAATCAAATAATCATCGAGACACACCGACGACGGGGGAAATCGTGTGGGAGCGGCTGGGATCGCCGGCGAGAAACCGTGAGTAGCGAATCGTCTTATGCTTCGCCTGTTTACCTTTTCAAAAGTCATCCGTACAGTCTGTCGGACATGGCCTTCGCTTAACGCGCACACTCGCGCGCGCACACACATATATACATATATAACCGATATACACACACACACATACACGTATCATACGTAGGAGCGTGCTCGCGAGCGCGCAGCCGCCTCCGCCGCATGCACGCACGCACACGCAGGCACGCACTTCACGTCGGTCTCCGATTTCGGTGGACCGAAACCGAGAGAAACGAG